TGCAACCATGGCTGTGGTTGTAAATGTGCAACCATGGCTGTGGTTGTAAATATGCAACCATGGCTGTGGTTGTAAATGTGCAACCATGGCTGTGGTTGTAAATGTGCAACCATGGCTGTGGTTGTAAATGTGCAACCATGGCTGTGGTTGTAAATGTGCAACCATGGCTGTGGTTGTAAATGTGCAACCATGGCTGTGGTTGTAAATATGCAACCATGGCTGTGGTTGTAAATATGTAACCATGGCTGTAGCACAAATCGTTGCAATCATGGCTGTAGCACAAGTCGCTACATTATCTCGTTACATAAGAGCGTCTCGCTCACCCTGTCTCTTATACACATCTAGATGTGTATAAGAGACAGCTATAATATTGAAGCGTTGCTATAATATTGAAGCGTTGCTATAATATTGAAGCGTTGCTATAATATTGAAGCGTTGCTATAATATTAAAACGTTACTATAATATTGAAGTTTCATACCTGCCTACACCTCTTCCGTACTGCTTTGTATGTTAATTGTTCTCTAGCTCCGTGGGAGTAGAAAAGCACGCTAACGCCTTAATAAAAATTCGGCAGGCTTTCATACAGCGTTTACATTTAATTCCCTTTGAGTTTTAGCTGCACGTCATGATAATGAGACGCAGAAATCGTATCTTTTCACCTTTAAAAAATGAACGCTTGTTTTGCATGCCTATTCAATTTTAAAAAGCTATTATACTCTTGAATATGATTCTTTTCCGTGTTATTTTCTTATCGACTGTATTGCAGGAAGAAAATAGGGCTGCCGAATCCTCTTTATAATTTAATTATAATATATTACTGAACCGTGAAGTTATATCGACTAACTTCCTAAGCGCGTCTGTAGCGTTCGCTAAATTTGTTTGGGGTGTGATTGAATAAAAAATCTAATTTTTCGTGTCGCATTCATGCGGCCAAACTTTATTAATAATAAGTTATACAGCATTCCAGACTTGTTACGTGAACTCTTAACTTTACAGGAGGCAAGGGTACATGAAAGAATAAATTCTACCACTAATTCCATACGTCAATATCACATCACAGTTTAGGCTTACATTATGGTGTGGGCAGTTGCTTTCATGACATTTTATTTAACTACTTTACGTGAGGAAATGTCCGAGCTCGTCAGATATTTTTTCTCTTGAACTGTCTGACACTTATTCTTCGTGTATGCGTACGTTACAATTAAAAAAATTTGTATATGCACACGAATACATTAAGCGAATTTTTCGGAGCACCTTCAGAATTTTTTAGAATTTTTCCTTGCGTTTAGCAAAAAAAAAAAACTTGCGCAAATATCTGCCGAAAGCTTCACGATTGTCCTCAATCTTTTTTTTTCACGCCTTCTCATTCATTATAGACCTTCTCTTGGAACAAGGTTGTATTGATATCTGTATATTCATTTCTTGCCTTGTTGAATAACCATTTTCTATAATTTTCGCTTGAATGAATTGCATGGCAACAACAAAGTTGCTCATTTATTAACAAAAAGAATAAATTAATCATTATTATGTTCTTCATCGTGAATGTTGCTTTCAACTAACACAATGAATGCACCTGCACAAATTTTTAATATATATATTAAGAAAAAAACTTGTTTGAAACGAGGCACTGAAATTAAGTCTGACTTGGTCGTCCTTACGTTCCAGCTCTGCACCATGGGCACACTTCTTAAATATAACACCAAGTCGAATTTTAGAAGTTTTACACTCATTTTTCCGTAATTTCTTAGATATTTAACGTAAATTTGATTTTATCGTCAAGTCATGCTTACTTTCTTCCTGCATTCGTTTCTCGGTTCTACTCATGGTCTCTTTGCAGGATTATTCCGCTTCCTTATCTTGCAGATGATAAAACAACTGTTCGGATAAGTCAAACTTTTCGACTTTGCGCTTTGTTCAAGCATGTTTTTCCGTCACATCTCAACTGGAGATGATGAGTTTTTCAGAAAATGTTGAAAGAATTTCTGTTACAATCCGAAAAATTTCTGCTAATAAGCCTGTATGCAAGACACGTTAGTAGTCACGTTGACGTATGCGTGACAGAATCAGCGCTGTATAGTGCGTATAGCTTCTCACTTGGAAAACTCGTTCGCTCGAAAAAGAAAATCCCTGCACCCATGCAAGATCCTTTTTAGCGCATTTTCTCATTTATAAAAAAATGCACTATTGTGCTCGCCATGTCCGTTTGTCTATCCGTCCGTCTGTCCGTCCGTCCGTCCGTCTGTCTGTCTGTCTGTCCGCCCGTCTGTCCGTCCGTCTGTCTGTCCGTGACTTCATGTTTTCGTCGACGAGAAAATGCACTCTCTGTCACTCACTGCAGTGAGTACTGAGTTATATTTTTTATCCTTATCAATGGAAGCGCAGTTCGTAACATTGTTTTCAATCAATGTTGATTATTTTAATTCATTTACAATCGCACAACAAAATCTAGCGAAGTTATTCGAAGATCGTTAAATTCAATCATGTTCAGACACACTGAATTATCAAATTTGAATGTTAGAGTTTATATTTATATAACATGAATTATAAGATACAACTATCCTCTGACTTGATTTGGGTTAGATCCGGTTATGTAAAAGATATTTGTATGCGTATCGTAAACATTTGTTTCTCAAACACGGATTTGACATCAAAATTTCCTGCTATAATCTTCTCGCTAATACGAAACAAAACCATGCACAACCAGAAAAGATGCTTAGCACTAGGTTATGAATTGCTTACGAGGCGTCAATTGAAGTGATTCAATCACATATACATAAATACCGACAGTAATGCTTAAACTTCTTTCAGTCTTCTGAGCCCAAATATGACATAAATACCGACAGTAATGCTTACACTTCTTTCAGTCTTCTGAGCCCAAATATGACTCAGTAATGCTAACACTTCTTTCAGTCTTCTGAGCCCGAATATGACATAAATACCGGCAGTAATGCTTACACTTCTTTCAGTCTTCTGAGCCCAAATATGACATAAATACCGGCAGTAATGCTAACACTTCTTTCAGTCTTCTGAGCCCAAATATGGCTGTCGTGGAAATCTTGTATACATAACACTCACATAAAAATGTATTCAAAAGTACGACATAAAACTCAAATATTTTATGCCAAATAACGTTATTACTCTTTCTGTCACATTGCAAATGAGAATAACCTTCTTCTCATACTTGGGATCGTGTTTTTTCTAACTACTGTTATCATCCTTTATATCCCACATAATTCAAGGGTCACATTCCATTGACTATATATACGGTACGGTCAACAGTGGAGAGTGCTTATATAACCGTGCCTAAGTTTAGCTACTTGTATCAAGGCCAGACACATACTTTCTTTATTCGCGTACACAACTGAGAAGTGCGCTCTTTCATGGAACTTTTCCACCGCAAGCAGAATTCAATTACGGCTTATAAATCGATAGCAGAAATCTTTAGAGTAGTAATCTTGAAACCGAAAATTTGTAAAAATATATTGGTGTATTGTTTCAATTCACGAATGAAAAGTGCATGTACTGGACTGTATTTGAGGTGTTCATCGGTTATAGGATTATTGCTCGCCGTTTATTAGATATTACTGCATGGGGTTCATTTTGGTCCGATTTTATTACGACTATTGGCACGGAGTTATTAATTTGTATATCATTTGAATTCTTTGTACGTTAGCTTCATTATTTCACTGAAAAAATATTTATCACCGTTATAGTGACATATATAGATTGCTAGAATAATGAGAAGTGTACGTTCGCAGTAATTATTTAAGAGAAAATAGTGTTTTCACGAGAAAAAAAATTGATTATCTTTCCTAGCGAGTAGATCGTATGCACTTGACGTTTTAGTTATACGTTAATGAAAAAACACCAAATGAATATGCTTGTAATTCTATTATCTCTTACTTTTTGTTGTGGAAGCTAAAACTTTTATTTTACACCGTGACAGCGACCGCCGTAAACTGTAGCAACTTGATGAATGGAGTCTACTTATTATAATGCTAATTCTACTTAAATTGCCCAACAATTAATAAGGCAGAAAACATTGTTTCGAGCAGCACTAGCCGCATTGTAGCATCGTAGATGTTGAACGAACTTATGTAACTACGACAAGTACAATATTCACTACGGAAAAATCTTTCTTCAGCAAAAATAATGACTTCTCCGTTTAAACTGCACTTTTCCGATTACTATGATTGCCTGATGGCATTTATTCTGCCATTCAGTTTTGTTATTATTTAGCCTAGGCCGAGCATTGTTGTACCCTTATTTACCGCATAACATCGATCGCTTTTACTTTCTATTTTAAGTCAATATTCATCCCATGAACACTTTTAATTTGCGTGTAAAGAAGTTGCTATTCACTTTAAGGTTAGGTTGGAATTTACTTTAATACCGGTCCGGTATCACAACCACGCAGACTATCGATATAATCCATAGTCTGCGTGCATACTAGTCAACTTAATCCTATCCTATGGATAGGATTAAGTAGCTTAAGCCTGGAGTTACGGACGATTGGTATTGAAAATTTCGTGTCTGGTCTACTCTGTATTTTCCATTCTCTTGAACTATATTTAGCATTTATGAAGTTCACGAGATAATTATTTAGGATTACCATGAAAATATATGAATATTCTTCCACTTACATTATAATTATAATGACGGCTTCAGGTAATTTAGAAGTGGGACTCGGTGGAGGTAGACGACCCTGGCTCTTGATCTTCTGTGACGGAAGCTAGAGCAAACCTGCCTTCAATTTCTTTACTACCTTCTCTAGACAGACTTCTCTTCCTGCTGCTAGCTTCTTTCTTTGCTTCACTGAGATCAGACAATAGTGCTTCACGTTTTCCTTCTAAGCTCACCACTGATTTCGAGTCGCTATCACCAGGTTTCGCACTCGCGTCGAGCGTACCTATTATTCGTGAAGTACTTGATTCTGTTTTTGTTGCGTCCGAATTTTTTCTCACGACTGGGTCGGCTAAAAATGTTGCTATTTCATCCAATTTGTCTGCCGGTTCAAGGATCAATGAGGATTTACAAATAGAAGTGGATGCTCTTGGGCTTCCGCTAATCTCGCTTTCGGTTGGACTCTTTCGTTTGGTTGTAGCTTCGGTATCTGAAGCATTGCCTTGCACTACCAGAGTTGCAGCTTGCAAATCTGAACTGAAGTCGGTCGACTTCGGTCGCTGCGGTTGCCTGCAATTCTTGTCTACCTGAGTTGGGGTGAGATGCACTTTTACGATCGGGCTTTTCGTGTGTAAGTTAGCGCTGTGTGTTCTCCTATGTGACAGCGCGTGTCCTTTGTTCGTTTGTTTACCGACTGAATAACTCAAGCTCCTAGAATGTTTCAGTGACTTACACTTGCCGTTAACTGTTGGTTGTGGCTGAGTAGTCAAGTGTGAAGGAGATGTTCCAGGGCTCTGAACTGAAGGGGTATTTGAGGCCCAGGATTGAGCGGCTTCGTGGTATTCGTTCGTAGACGCACTGCAGCTTGAATGATTTCGTCTGTGTTGTTGTATGAACGCTTGTCGCTGTACTTTTGTAAGCGTGCTGGACGGAGTGTAGTACATATCTTCAGAGCTTTCCGTACTTGCTCCTAAAGGGTGAAGAAAATCTAGCCGGTAATACGCATCAATCCCGTGAATTTCATCATCAAAGACCATTGAGTCACCTCGGTTGCAGCTTCCTCCGGTACGGCAATTTTGCAAGTACAAGTCCGGGATATTTTCAAGTATTTTGTTGAGCGTTTTCTGCTGGTACTTGTAAGTCTCGCGCAACTTGAAGAGCTGATGTGCACTGAACTTGCGAATCCGCTGCCGTTGGAACACGTAGTTTTCGCTGACTTTGTTCATCTGACTCACCGAATAATCTCGCACGCGATTCGCCTGCGAGGTTAAAATAATAATTACACTTATTTAAAGTAAAGAATAAACAAGACAGCACTGCGAACAAAAGATATCTTAACTTCGATTACCTCATAGTTAATCCATATTTTTAAGATAATTATAGTCTTTTCATATTCTACTTATGTAGTATATACAGCTTGTACTCATCTGATTTCATCAATTTCCACAATTTTCCAAAAAATGTATATAACATAAAATGCTGATAACTAGCAAGACTATCCCGCATTGATGCATTTTTGTTTGAGTTATTATAATTTATAGTTGGGATGCTTGAGATTTATTAAGCTTGCAATTTAACCCGTACTTATCTATTCTTCACGAGCGACTGAATGATGAGTTTTTTTTGCCTACATGCAACCATGACTGTGGTTGTAATTGTGCAACCATGGCTGTAGCACAAGTCGATGCAACCATGGCAGTGGTTGTAAATATGCAACCATGGCTGTGGTTGTAAATGTGCAACCATGGCTGTGGTTGTAAATATGCAACCATGGCTGTGGTTGTAAATATGCAACCATGGCTGTGGTTGTAAATATGTAACCATGGCTGTAGCACAAATCGTTGCAATCATGGCTGTAGCACAAGTCGCTACATTATCTCGTTACATAAGAGCGTCTCGCTCACCTGTTCCACGTATTGATCCCTGGCTGTCGTGAGCTGCTGTGCGCTGTAGTCTTTGATGCTTTGCAAATTTTTGCATTGTGTAGTGTAGCTCTCACTGAGGCGCTCCATTTGTTGGTAGCAGCTTTCTTTTATGGTGACCACCTTGCAAAAATAGGAATACAATGTTAAGATAAGTAAGAACAATACAAAGTTTAGATGCAGTGAAACAACAAAGTTTAGATGAACCTTGGAAAATTGACATACAATGTTAAGTTAAGTAAGAACAATACAAAGTTTAGATGCTGAGTGTGCAATTATCTTGGTTATCAAGAGCTAAGGACGAAAATAGCTTATGGTATTGATTTATCTAGCTGGAGTTTGTCAAAGCATGATGCGCGAGTATCGAGCTGTATTGACGACGCGGTGCAGTGACTGCAGTGATTTAGAGTTTGCGATACGGCTATCAAACAGAGATTATGAGTTATAAGGTTTATAATATTCATATTTTTCTTTTAAAAATTATATGGACATTATATACTTATATTGTTCATACACTATATTAATTATGTTGATTTAACTCCGTTGATATGCATGTAATTATAGTGATCATGAGCTTTTAAAAATGAAAATCGGACCGAAAAAATGTTGCTCTCTAGTTACGAACAAGTGAATTTAAAAAAGGCACAGTGATTACGTATATGTCGCCTGTACCTGCGAATTATAGTTGTCTCTTAGCCTCTCGAGTTGCTGAGACTAAATAAAGCACAATGATTGCGTATATGTCGCCTGTACCTGCGAATTATAGTTGTCTCTGAGCCTCTCGAGCTGCTGAGACTTGTACGACTCGATGCTCTCGAGCAGTTTCTTGACCTGCATCGCTCGCGAGGACAGTCGGTCACGGCAGCAGCAGCATTCCCAGCCCATCCTGCGCAAACACCGGAACAAGTTTTACACTTTAAATCATATCAACAATCGTAAAATGATAAGTTTTAAAAGTGCGGAATTCACTGATGTAAGACTAGGTATTCACACCAATCAAATTAATTCAACTTGTGTGATTTCTGCTTAACAAGTCAAGGCAATTGAACAATTTCATTTAGGCCTATGGGCCTTCCAGTGATTTGCTAATAATATAAAGAATAAAACGGGTATTTTGGTACTACCCCTGAGATAACTCACCTATCCATGACGTATCTGATGAGCTGCACGACCAGGGTGGTTAGAAGGAAAGCCATGGCGCAGGCCAAACCGAATAACAAAGTCCTTATTTCATAAGCCTCGCGATCATCAACAGTGAGCCACAACGAAGTTGTCGACACGACGCTGGCTAGTGAGTTCACAGCAATGCATCTATACAATCCAACGTCATCGCGAGACATGTTCTGAATCAGCAATTGCCCTGACTTCAAAGGCTGGATCTTGTCGTTAAGCTCGTCGTCGTCGTCGGGGGACGTGAGACTTTCAACTACGTGTCTGAACTTGACACTGTACCAGGGCTGTACTTCGATGTGGCTGTGCGAATAATATTTTTTATTCGGGGATATCCAGATGATTGTGGGCAGCGGGAACCCTGTTGCATTACACTCGAGAAGTGCTGTTTTGCCCTCGCCTCGCCGCAAAGTCACGTCAGGCGGAGACAATATGTCAGGAGCTTGACAGTTTTGGTTATAAATGTGGTCTTCTAACTCGCTTGTAGTTCTTGTGACACCATCGGCACATTTAATCGCATCGAGTCCCAAAAAGATCATTTCAGTGCCACTAATGGAAGAAAGGTAACTAGGCAACCAATAGGCATGACAATCACAAAGGAGGGTGAGGTTGTTCGCTATCAAATTTGTCAAGTTCAACCCCCTGATTGAATAAGGCAGAACTCTTATTGACGCATTCGATATGTCTAATATTTTGAGCTTTTTAAGCGGTTCCAGGGACTTGTCATCAATGCTTACTAAGTTAGGGTTGTAGCTCAAAATCAGTTTCTCGAGATTCCACAGACCATGGAAGGTATAATCGCCTACTGACTGAAGACTGGTGTGATGAAGTCTTATTTCCTTCAGCTTAGGGTTGCCAGCAAAGATGTTGTCAGGTAAATTAGTCACATTTGTATAACTTAAATCAATTCTCATTAACTCGTACGCTCCTTTAAAATGAACCTGGAGAGCTTCGGATATCTTCACGTGGGCGAGATTGATTTCTTTCAAATTAGGTAGTGACGACAGGTAGGGTAATGTTCTGATTTTTGAATGGGACATATCCAAGTATTCCAATTTGGGCAGTATTAAGTATGGTGGTTGTGTCGTCTTCATTTCGGTGAGGATAAGGCGCTTCAAGTTTGGTAAATAAACGTCCCACGTTGCTGCTTGTTCCATCAAGTCCGTGCTGTGTAAGTCTAAAATTGTCAAACTGGTCGGAAGTTTAGGAATTCTTCGTAGAGGGTTATTTGACATGTCTAAGCTTAAGAGATCATCCAACATTGAGAGATCTGCTTCAGTTATATTGTTGTGAGCCATGTTGAGCGCTAATAAGCGGGGCAAATTTCGGATAGCTCTAACGTCTCTCAAATTGCTGTTAGTGATGCGTAGGTGCATTAGGGATTCAGGTAACGACGGCAGCACCGTGAGATTTCCATCGTATACACTGAGTTCTCTGAGATCCGTTAGTTGAACAAGCTCTTGTGAGATTTTCTTATATCCGAAGAGAGTCAAAACTTTAACTCCAGCTGGGAAGTCTACTGGAAGCTCTGCTGTGTCACTGGGTGAATAACACGTGACGCCGGTAATGAGGCCACATTTGCAGTCAACAGGGCACATGTTTCGGATATTTCCTTTGTTCTGCTGTAGGTTGGAGCTCGTTAATTCCTGAGATCGTCTGCCTTCTTCCTGAACATCACGAGCAAGCGAAGCAGACTCGAGACCAAGGCTCCTCCATGTTTGCGGAGCATCTTTCATTATCGAAATTCTCGGTTTTGTCTTAGATGCTTCTGTTTTTGATTGCACTTCAGCTGCATTTACATCTTCATTTCTGAAATTGCCGTTTGTGTCGATTAGTATGTTCCCTGCAACGTTATTTTTTTGTGGCTCAGCCGTTTCCGATATGCCCGAATTCAATTTTTCCCAGGCACCCCCCGCATCTTCAATGAAGTGCTCGTACGATGGTTCCGTACCGATGTCACCGTCGTGGGGGATGACACTCTGAGGAAAAGCTAGTGTGTTGCGCGGGGACGTTACCCCCAGCAGCAATAATAATGCCTGTAGTGCGAACAACTGAGCCAAGTGCTGTGCCAAGACGCTGTGTCTGGTGGCCGACTGCGGTAGAGCGGCCATTGTGCTTTGTCCGTTGCATTCAGTCCTGCGCCAGAACAAAAATATCATTTAGTTTTTGTAGTTGTAACTATCCTAATAAATTTGCATTCAGTCCTGCGGCAGAATATGGTTATCCTTTAATTTTTTTAGTCGTAACTCTCCTAATAAGTTTGCATTCAGTCCTGCAGCAGAACAAAAATCTCATTTAGTTTTTGTTATCGTAACTCTCATAATAAATCTGCATTCACTCCTTTGCATTCAGTCATGCGGCAGAAGAAAGTTATCCTTTAATTTTTTTTAGTCGTAACTCTCCTAATAAGTTTGCATTCAGTCCTGCAGCAGAACAAAAATCTCATTTAGTTGTAACTACCCTAATAAATATTCTGTCGATTTTTTAGGTAAAATAATTTAATATTTTATGAGCTACTATTATGTACTGAAACTACACGATTTGACGATACAGCAATCGAACACCAAGTGACGTATCCACTTTACTCATATATGTTTGAGTTTTACATGAAAATAGTTTGCTCAGAGAAAAATAAAATGAATTCCTTCTCGTGCAATGCGTGTTCGACAAAGGAAAACAAAAGACGCGCGTTTTTTCTAACTCTGTTCGGCTGAAAAATCAGGCACCATACTGTGGCTCGATAATATCATATCTACATTATTCTGAGTCTCCTGCCCTTCTAAACTTATGCTACCTGATTCCCTTTGATTCTGAGTCCTCGCTCTGCTACCTGTTAGTGAGCCTCTTGCTCTGCTACCTGATAGTGAGCCCCCCTAGCCGCGTTTGTTACCTAATCCTATACAGAAGGTCGGCCTTGATCGACCTGACCGTGTGCTCTAGCCTGGCTCTTGGGATGACGTCTCTTTCTTTGACCGCTGTACTTTTATGTTCTGCTTGCCTCCTGCTTAATAAAAGTCATTTCTTATGATATGTCAATAATTATTGAAGTGATATAGAAGCTAACAATTTATGGGATCTAACGGTAGTAGTTTTGGAACGGTTGTAGTATTCAAATCACTCAAACCCAAACCCTCTCGAACCTTACGTGACAACTCAGAGATTAACAATTTTTAGAAAAACTAAATTTTTCTTTTATCTCTCTACTTTAATCAAACGTTTTGATATTACGAGACTAACGTTCAAACTATACTATTAATCAACGAGTCATTATATTACAAGTTCTCCAGCGCCATGTATGTATAGCGTTACAATACAAATATTCATTCACATAACTACTTAAGAGCATCGGCGTATGACTGCTGCTCGATCTACGTGACCGTAGAGCATCAGCATATGACTGCTGCTCGGTCTACGTGACCGTAGAGCATCAGCATATGACTGCTGCTCGGTCTACGTGACCGTAGAGCACCAGCAGATGACTGCCGCTCGGTCTACGTGACCGTAGAGCATCAGCAGATGACTGCCGCTCGATCTACGTGACCGTAGCATTAAAGCTGCCCGCCTCTTCTGCGCAGCTGAGCCTTGCTTGCTTCTCTGTACCGCTGCACGTATTGCCACTGAGAAGTTTACGCCAATTTAATGATGTTGATGTAAGTGTTGGCGTTGCGCAGAATGTCTTTATTCGTCGCAAGATGAATTTTCAATGTTATCACGTATTTACTATAACAGATTTTTTTTATAATCAGATATCTACACTGATAATATTATATAATCTGCATCTGCCTCATGAGTTGTACAAGAATTGGTATGTATTGTCATTAATTCGATATATTTTTCGACTTTGAGTGCCAGACGTACTTTGACTTTTGCGAACACTGAATGACGCTGGGTGATGGGGGGTTATCTTCACTTGAAATCAAATATTGTTCGAGTCACACCATTCGAATATTTGCGTCGGTTAATTCTATCCATCATTGTTTCAGTTCACTCTAAGCCAGTTATGTACGGTGTTAATGCGTACTAATACGAGTTATTGGGTTATTGCGTTGCATGTTCTGCAGCATTGCTTGCGTCATTCCTGAGTTAGTCTTGCCAAATTACCATTTTTTCTTGGCAGTCTTAATAGTAATGACCGCTTGTGATGTTATTGCCGTATTACAAGTTCCTTTAACGTTATTGCGTCGATATATGAGTGCGGTTGAACAGAGTTGATGATCATAACCTTAACCAACATCACCCAAACGAACAATCTAAGTATAGGTTAAAAATACCCTTCCTGCACCTAGTGTCACTTGTCGTGCTGGGTAATGTAACCCGAGGCGCTAACTGCAGTGAGATGTCTAATCTCCAATGCTGATAATGATTATGTTGTTGTTTTCGGACAACGTACTGCATGTACTTCCATAAAGTCACAGTTTACAATTTGGTTAGTTATGAAGGAACCAGATAATTATTCAGCTTTACAGCTTAAGTTTAACATAGCCTCGTGTATTGCTTATTACACTTATTACAATATGAGCATGGTTGGTCTCGTGAACATGTTACATTGGAGTAATCATGTGGAAATATGCGGGAAATATCCAGAGTTGGGAAAGTAATGTAAGCATTATATGTTATGTAAGACTTGTTCATGATTCGGAGATCATTATATGTTAATTCAACCGGGTTGAACAACCCGGGCAATCATGCTGAATAATGGTTGGACTTGGTCCTCCTTATTTACTGCCATTACCTCCAACATATCAACTATGTTATCATAGTGAATATTTTATCTAACATGATAGAAATCAGATTAGCAATCGAATTTGCATTGACTTTAATACATCTACATAAATGTTTAAATGTAGTTCATCTTGGTCCGAGACCTAAGATGAATTTCACGATTGACTACTTATTGCACATTAGCCTTTCTCATATCAGTAGAGAATGGTCGAATTACGAAGTTCATTGAATATCAAAATTAATAGATTTGAAGCGCAAAGTTTCCCGTATCTTTTAGATCTGAGTTCTGTAAGTTTTGTGCTCTGCTACCGCACAAATGAAAACTTATATCCTCGTTGAATTATAGGTAGTTAATGAAATACGAAAATGATTGTTACCAATTTTGAAAAATCAATGTTTTATTCAACGACGATTGTAAATGGTTAAAAATGGATGCTGAAAACTGACCTGTTAGGCGTAAAAAAAGTTTTGTTACGAATTTGAAAAATCATAGTTTTATTTAACGACGATTGTTGTAAATAGTTAAATAAGTATGCTGAGAACTGACCTCTAATTCGTAAAAAAAATGATAGTAAAAAATTTGAAAAATCAAAGTTTTATTTAACGACGATTGTAAATTGATGAATTAGTATAGTGAGAACTGACCAAAAAAAAATGATAGTAACAAATTTGAAAAATCCAAGTGTTATTTAACGACGATTGTAAATGGTTAAATAAGTATGCCGAGAACTGACCTGTTAGGTGTGATAGTGTGTGTGCAGCGTGCAGGGCTGTGGCGCCCTGAACTATCCTCCCCGATGTCGTCACGAGGCTGCGTTCATGCTAGTCACAGACCAACTACACGCTCATGCTAGTCACAACCCAACTACGCGCTCATGCTACACGATCATGCTAGTCACTCACCAACTACACGTTCATACTACACGCTCATGCTAGCCACAGACCAGCTACACGCTCATCAGCTCAGCTGTACTCACTCAATGCTGAACTGCACAGCTAAGTTTATTTCTGCAGGAAGATAATCGTTATGCCAAGTAAAGTTCATCTTATTGTACAGATATACATGTTACATGTGGTTACTATTACAAGACCTAATACTAGGTCTTAATGTTAATAGCTAATGTTAATACTTTTTCAATAGGCATTTAGTCTATTCAGTTGAGGCTTGTATTAAATAAGTGCATCAGGTTGCATCTATTGCTATATATTGAGACGTTTTCAAATAGATTAAAGCATTTACGTTACAGGTAACCTTCAATAATTTTGCTGAAATTTATGTGGGGAATTCTTATGTTCGCTGCCTCATTTGTTGTAATTCTATCTCAATAACGGCAGTCAGGACCAAAGTATCCATTACCTCGGTCATAACATTAATTATGTAAGCTAACATTATATAATTAATCGTATGCAGATAACGCTAATTATTTTTTTGTGGCTCGGTTGAACAGGTTCTTAAATCGTATATGTATTTAATCGTGAGCAGATAACACAAATAAGTTAGTGCCGCTCTTATGAACAATCGGCCTCATAAATCGCTGCTTAATATTGATATCTAAGGCTTTAAGTTATCGTATTTTAAATTCCTATCGTTAATCCGTGTAAATTGATAGTTAATTAATTCTCAGAACATCTGATCGTCCGGTGTCAGTGTGCTTTACATTTCTTGCCTTCTATTTATATGTATATTTAATTATAATGCATGCATTGAATAATGCATGTTAATCTATATTTGTATCGTTACTTTTACATTGTCAGCACTGCGAGTGCAAAGACGCGTTTAAAGTAGGAATTAGGACAATTATGCTAAATAACCTACCACGCAACAATAATATCAACATTATTGTTACTCAATACTGGCGATAACAATATAATAAAGATAGTGAATCAGTTCAAATTTCAAAATACCGAAATCAATTCGCGATTTCCCTCCTGGACGTATTATTTAGCGTGCAATGACAGGTCTGGAGTTGCTGCCTCGGCAGTAAACTAATTTACTTTATTGCTTTAGCCTAACGAACGCCTAGTGTAATACGCACTCCTGAGTAGCAGTTGTCAGAATTTTTCTTCTACATCAGGGGTCACCAAACTACGGCCCGCGGGCCGAATCCGGCCCGCGACGTCAGTTCATCAGGCCCGTCGACGGTACTTTAATTAAATTGCTTGATAAAATGGTTGGAACACGAGATGTTGTGATACAATTTAAATTTTATGCTTATAATACTAGGAAATCTTCGCGCGTGCGGGGACCTCCTGATCGCTATGTGCCTTAAATTTACTAGGTTCAATTATTGTATCTAAGTATTCTTGTATTGTGTTTCTTCTTGGAAGCAGAAAACTTCACTCATTTTCACTGTTTCATAAAGTTTTGCACTTCAATCGCTGAAGATGGCAACCGCGATTTTCCAAAAAAGATTATTTGTGACTTGAAGAAGAATTTTTTGAGAGATTTTCAGATCTCGACAGAACTGGGAGTGACATTCTTCTGTTCCAAAATCCGTTTGACTGTAACCTTGATGATTTGCCAGTTGAATTACAGTTGGAGCTCATTGATTCGAAGCAAATGACTTGTTAAAAGAGAAGCACAGAGAAGGAAAACTTGTTAAATTTTACTGCTGCTTACCTGATCATGAGTTTCCAAAATTGAAAAAATTTGTCGCTGTTATGGCATCAGTGTTTGGAACAACGTATGTCTGTGAGCAAACATTTTTAAAAATGAAGTATGTGAAGTCAACACGTCGAACGAGATTGACTGATGAACATTTGAAAGCAATTCTCTTGCTTGGATGCAGCAATTCCAAACCAAACATTGATGATATGAACGTCAGTTATGGAAAGATCGGGTTCCAAAGGCTGGATCCCTTGTGAATCAAGTCACGAAAAATTCAAGAATCGGCAACAGGCCATGGGCCCATTTCTTCAGTGCCGACACTTCTATCCTATTCTATATCTTGAAAGCAAAACGTCAGTTTCGCAAAGCTCACTAACCTTTTTTGCTGTTTAGTTTGTGAGATTCGGATATGTGCACACTAGGCCTGATGTAACATCTTTTTGCTTACGTCGCCTTCTTTGAAAACTTTTTAGTAAATAAAATGTTGGTTGTTGTTTATTGATTAACATGGAATGCTAACTTAGTTTTTCCTTTTTCTCCCAGAGCTTTCGTTCTGGCTTGCAAGTATTGAACAGAATGATTTTGCGGCCCGCGCTTGTCATTCATTCAGTTATCCGGCCCGCTGTGAAAAAAGTTTGGTGACCCCTGTTCTACATAATGAAGACTTCCATCAGTTAAAAATATGAGCGTATAGTTGGTATACTAATATTGGTCTTTAACCTGCGTATTTATTGTATTTCTGATAGGAATTTGTTCTTGTCAAAACGATGGCTTAGAAATAAGTGAGGCTCATCGATACGTTGTGTACAAAGAAGTTACAGGCACTTGTTCAATTAGAGTGGACGACAGAATAGCGTTACACACAAAATCCGTTGGCAAGCTCCATCTTTCTTCACTCAATGTCAACACTAAATAAATAGTATAACAGTGAGCGTTTCATAAGTATTCTTTACGAGACGATCTCTTATAGAACTTGTTTATGCGTAGTTTCGCTGAAATCTTAATTTGTTGACAGTAAATATTGAGCTATTGCATGAAGGAAAACTGCTTGAGCACGAGTCACATGCACACTCTCCGACATCCTGTGGAGCACTGAACTGAGCAGCAAAAAATAACCGAGACTGAGCATTGTTGTGTTGGTGATGTGGAGGTGGTGGTGGCTGCTGCACCTCCATGTCTGTATGGTCCTCCTCCACACCGGCAATTCGATCTCAACGTCGCGTTCTTGGTATGTGTTCGAGTTAACGAAGTGTTGATGAGTTAAAAAACTATATAATTTTCATCGTATCGGGTGTAGCGACTGCATTCCGAATTATTGGAAGCAGTTGTTGTAATATGACATGATGCTGCTGCTCCAGCTGCTGCATTCCACCTTTCCTCCCTCCCTTCGCATCTCCCTCATCACCCCCTCCCCTTCTTCCGCTGTAGTTTCAATAGGAACTGCTTTTGTCCTTCTTACTGCTGTTGTTGTTGCTGCTACTCTGTTACATTTTTTTGCACTGTTGTTGTTGCCATATCGGCCGCCTATGTTGTTGCTCGGACCGGTCTAGCGGCCACTGGTTGCACTGCTGTTGTAGCTGCCGTTGTAATTGCAACCTCTGCAGCTGTTTTCGGCCACTGCAGCAGTTTATGTTATTATTACTGTAGGATTAACTTCTATTTCTTACGCCTTATTTTATACTGAAATATCTCATGCGTTGTTGCTACTTAGTAACCCGAGATTTACAGTGCGCATCTGGAATATTTCACGTATTATTTGGATTACTAATAGATTATTTAGATTACCATTTAGAATATAAAATATTTGGATTACTAACAGATTATTTGGATTACTATTTAGAATATAAAATATTTGGATTACTAATAGAGGCATAATTCGAATTGTATTAATTTATCATAGCTCCATGGTTAATGAAACGTTCATCAACCTCCATCATCGCACCAGTTGATTTTTTTTAAGCGTTCGCTTTATTTCCATTGCTTAGTAATTAAGTGCTGCTTCTGTACTTTATTCATTGATGAAATGTTCGGGACTTACGTAATGAGTGACAAGACCATAGTTGTGAGAACAAAAAATAGTATATAGCAAAGTGGCCATCCATTCATTGACGTCATTATTGCTAACACTGTGATGCGTAATGTGTTAGAAGTACACATTGTTTGTTTTGTGGGTACTGTATAACGACTTCATTGCTTCTTTTTCAATGCACTAGATGAATAAAGTAAATAACTTCGTTATTTTTCAATTAAAATAAAAATTAAATAACAAATGTTATTTATGTTAAGTTGCGTGTTATTTAACAAACACGCAACTTACTAATTTACTTCAAGCATCAACGTATACACTTTATAAAGTATTGCATGCGACCATTGTCGTGACTCGACCTTTTACAATAGACCTGCATACTTATTCAGATGATTACTCACTGAATACTAATTTATAAGGAATATATTGTGTGTGTGCAGTGCGACGACTTCATTGTTTTTCAATGAACCTGCATAATCATTCATATAATAACTCTCATTTATATAATAACACTAATTCATATACCTAATAGCACTCATTCATATAACACTCATTCATATAATAACTCTCATTTATATAATAAAACTAATTCATATACCTAATAGCACTCATTCATATAATAACTCTCATTTATATAATAACACTAATTCATATACCTAATAGCACTCATTCATATAAATGACACTAACACCATAAATTCTATTGGTTATTTTGTATGTGCAGTGCGGTGACTTCATCGCCGTGGGGGCGGAGGAGGCCATGACGCCTTCAGACGTGATCGCCGCGTGCGACATCACATTCTCGTGCGTGTCGGACCCGCAGGTCGCCAAGAATGTGAGTAATGTGCATGCTTCTTACCATACCTTAATATGATATGTCAGTCAATGCATATATGATATGTCAGTCAATGCATATATATGTCAGTCAATGCATATATATGTCAGTCAATGCATATATGATATGTCAGTCAATGCATATATGATATGTCAGTCAATGCATACCTGTCACTTACCATGCTTCTTACCATACCTTAATATGCCAGTCAATGATAAGCTGTAATTAAATTATGGAGAACTATGGATACCAAGTAATTTCATTCAGTAGGAACTGTGTTATTGGTTGTAAAGTAAGAAGTGTAGAGGTGAATAGTAAGTGCCGTGCTATTTTGAGTAGCTGCCACTTACCATGCATCTTATTATAGCTTAATAAGCCTGTCAATGATAAGCTGTAATTAAATTATTAAGAACTATGGATACGACGGAGTTTCATTCATTAGAAACTGTTATTCGTTATAAGGTAAGAAGTGCAGTAGTTAGTGGCCGTGCTTTTTTGAGTAGCTGTCACTTACCATGCATCTTACGATACCTTTAATTTACCAGTCAATGATATGCCATAGTTGAATTAGTGAAAACTATGGATATGAAGTAATTTCATCAGAAACTGTGGTATTCGTTGTAAAGTAAGAATTGTAGAGGTAAATAGTAAGTGCCGTGCTATTTTAAGTAGCTGTCACTCCACATACCTTAGCTGAACAAACGAACTCTGTCATAAGTGAGTCGGGGGCTGCTAGCCACCAAAGGGGGGATGCTTATGAGAAATGCAGTGCGTCTTTTAATTGTTAGCGCATTTTCTCATTTATGGAAAAAATGCGCTATTGTGCTCGTCATGTCCGTCTTTTCGTCCGTCCGTCCGTCAGTCTGTCTGTCTGTCTGTCTGTCCGTCCGTCCGTGACTTCACGTTTTCGTCGACGAGAAAATGCGCTCTCTGTCACTCATTGCAGTGAGTACTGAGTTATATTTTTTTGTTTACTTCTATCTATGTAACACAATCTAACTCTCGAAGTGTATGAAGAATGTTAGTGGAAACTAATGCACAGGCCTGTAAGTTCCGAGTCGTGATTATTGATATTATCAGCTAACTCTGCCTATATAGTCATGGACTCTTGAAAAAACCATACCAATTTAAGATAGAAAAAATAAAACATCAATTAAAAAATATCTTATATTAATAGGCTCTCCGACTTGTTCTATACTCGTTCAGGACCTATTATAATGCAATGCAATAAAAAATTCACAAACAGATAAAATTCAACTTGTTAGTTCTACATACATTTTTATAATTTTTCATAATTTAGCTTCCTAACTAAAAACTACTAGCGTTACAAGCATGGCAGTTGTTGAGTATATACACTAGTAGTACGCTTGACGTTTGGTACAAATTTTACATTGCTAAGTGCAATTCTTCGAGAGATGAAATTTTTTAAAGAGTCCTAGACTACACATGATATAGTACAATCGTGAATTGATATTAGTTACCAAAGCGCTTAATTTATTATATGAAACTATACGATCCCACCTCTAATCTAATCTTTAAATAACCGCTAGTATGGCGAGTTTCTAGCGGTTGCTTACTAGATATATGCTAAGAATCGATGAAACTCTAGGATCAAGTCAGTGCTTGTAGGTTCTTTGGAATTGATCTGCCTGTCACTGGGATATGTAATTCTCATGCACAATTTAAGAAGCAAGGTGTCACGCACGTGAGTTTCTCCATATATCACTGTTTTTTTAGCGCATTTTCTCATTTATGGAAAAAATGCACTATTGTGCTCGCCATGTCCGTCTGTCTGTCTGTCCGTCCGTCCGTCCGTCTGTCCGTCTGTCTGTCTGTCTGTCCGTCCGTCCGTCCGTGACCTCACGTTTTCGTCGACGAGAAAATGCGCTCTCTGTCACTCACTGCAGTGAGTACTGAGTTATATTTTTTATGTAATTTCTTTGTAGATGACGTTGAACTGTGTAGATGTAAATGAACTAAATAAACCATAGGTTTGGATTCGTTACCTACTACTTCGCACGGCCTTAGACAATTATTTTGCGTGATTTTTGATGGATGAAATCCTCAATTAGGATGAAAAACGTCCTAATTGAGTAAATGTTTTGTTGACACAAGATGCATATCTTGATTACAAAATTTTTTTTCAAACGCTAACGATGTTTATCTACAATATGATGACTTCAATTCGAGCGAAGAAGAAGGATTGCTCGACTTCAATGCCACATTGAACAAGCGAAGTATTTTTATTATTTAAGTTACTGCAAACATTTATCATGGACCACAATTCATCACATAGAAGAAGCGAATTATTCTTATTATTTAAGTGTATAAAACATTTGTCATGGAGCACACTGTATCACATAGAAGACGCAAATTATTTTTATTATTTAAGTGTATAAAACATTTGTCATGGAGCACACTGCGTGTATGTCAGATGGTGTTCGGGAACTGCGGTGTGCTGCAAGAGATGTCGACTGACAAGGCCTACGTCGAGATGACAGGAATCGACGCTGAGACCTCGCAGGACCTCGCTGATGTGAGTTATTTCTTTCAACGCTTAGTGCCTTACCTCAAATTTAGTTACGAATTCATGTAACATAATTCTGCTATATTGAGGGCATTTTATCATTTATGGAAAAATGCACACTTCTGCTCGCCATGTCCGTTTGTCTGTCCGTCCGTGACTTCACGTTTTCGTCGACGAGAAAATGCGCTCTCTGTCACTCACTGCAGTGAGTACTGAGTTATATCTTTGTATTTTGTTTGACCTGACGGCAAGTACCGGTAATCAAACTGTAATGCTTGAGACGAGCGTTATTGGTAGCATAGCATTTTTTATATCATTATATCTATTGGAATTTATTTTTCTACTAACTTATTGCCTTGAACTTTGCCCAAATTTTATGTTTCACTATCTGAATATAATCTATACAAGGGTAGGACTAAATCAATAGGTGAGCATATTGTAATTTCATAAGATTTCATGTCAAGAATTTCAAGCTTTTTAAAATGTTTGCATTTCTGCTTCAGCGTTTGATAGGCATTGCCTCTTGTGCATTGAGATTAACAGGCGATACAGCTGCCTCATGACCCACTATGTGCAGGCGACACAGCTGTCTCATGACCCACTAAGTGCAGGCGATACAGCTGTCTCATGACCCACTATGTGCAGGCGATGATGTCGAAAGGCGGACGGTATCTGGAGGCTCAGATCCAGGGGTCCCGGGAGCAGGCAGAGAACGGCACGCTAGTGATCCTCGCCAGCGGCGACCGGTCGCTCTTTGACGAGTGCCAGAGCTGCTTCCAGGCCATGGGCAAGAACTCCTTCTTCCTCGGTAATTGTTGTAGTTACAGCTTATTATTACAGCTTACAGCTGTGTTAGGCTGACTTACACGTGTTATATAGCTGCTTCCGGGCCATGGGCAAGAACTCCTTCTTCCTCGGTAATTGTTGTAGAGGCTACAGCTTACAGCTGTATTAGGCTGACTTACAGCTATATTAGGCTGACTTACACGTGTTATATAGCTGCTTCTGGGCCATTCGCAAGAACTCCTTCTTCCTCGGTATGATGTACAGC